GAGAAAGCCATCAGACCCACACTGCAGAAGTGTCCCAACACCAGCTAACCCATCTGTAACCTACCGCTGTGTTCCCAAAGACATGCTGGTGTCCCAGCCTGGGTGCTCTGTGCTAGCAGCCCAGTGGGACTGATGCTCTGGGCTACCCTTGTCTGCAAGCCAGGGAGCTCACTTAGGTGTTAGCAACCCTCTCCCCTTGAGCAGGGGTCATGCATCAGCTCGCTAAAGCCCTCCTACTCCAGTAAGGTGGCCAAGGCTGCCCTGTGGCCCCAGGCAGCCTGCCTCAGCTTGATGTTGCCTGGTGCTTTGACACTTGGGTTTGGTGCTCCAGTAGCTCCATGGAGTTTCTTGTATTTGTGTACAAAATGTTCCCTTGCCTGTGCATGGAGTGAGGTTGGTGGGAAAGGAATGCAGCTAGGGATGGTTTGGGTGGAGACCCTCCTCTGCTTTGAGCAGCTTTGCTCTAATGTTAACTCTGAGGGCAGCAGCCCCCTCCTGTCTGGGGGCAGATTTTAACCCACAACCTCTAGACCCAGAGAAAGGAGTGCTGAGCTCCCAGAGCCCCAGCCTGCTGCTGGTGCCAAGGGAAGCCTGGCCCCCTGCTCCTCCTGGGCTCAGCTTGGCTGCCCCTTGGAACACTGCTCCTGCAGTCAGTCCTGGAGCAGTCTCTGTTTGATTCTCATCAACCATGGCTGCCACAGGCCTCTCTCTTAGAGGGTCCTGATCTCTGTTCTAAATCCTGTCTTTTTGCCTGTGGTCATGTTTAGGAAACCATGTCTTTGTAGTCCTCCTTGCCAGAGGAGGAACTGGAGATGCGAATATAAAAGGGGAAAGGGATTGACCCTTTGAGCACAAGGCAGCAGCTCTGAGACCTGTGTGCTTTTCCTCAACCCTACAGGAGCTCTCACACAAGCAGAGGTGGCTGTGATGGTCTTGTGTGCACCAAGACTTGCCTCTTCTCGTGGTGGGGGCACTGGTACAGACCGATGCACAAGAGGAAACTGCCAGCCATCTCACAGAGAGGGCAGGCTGTCTCTGCCCTATGAGAACGTCTTCATTCTCTCCTCAGGATGTCTTTGAGAAGCTTTCAGAGGGAGAGAGACGAGGCATGCATGCATCCCCACCTTCCCCCACCAGCAGCTCCTCTGAAGCTGCATCCAAGCCCCAGCATGACTCCTAACCACACTTTATTACCTAGGCTGCCCAGCCTACTTGCAGACACTTGATGTCCTGGCTGAAGCCAAGAAGCTGGCTTACAGGGAAGCAGCTCACCACGGGGCAGTGCCAGGCAGGTCCCCAGGAGCACTTGATGTCCCAAGGAATGGCCATACCCTGTTCGCTTAGCTGATGCCACGTCTCGTTGCTCTCCTCATGTTTTCTATTCTAACCCTATTTTACCCACTCTTTGGGCTACAGAGAGTCTTTCTATCTATCTCCTTTCCCCCTTACCAATCTTATATGGGGAGCCCTTGTCAATATTTTCATGACAAGGTCTTTCCAGCCCCCGAATTGCTGATTTCTGAACCTTCTGCCATTTCCTGAGACTTTCCTGATAATACAGTGTCTGGGGATTTTAAGTTCTGCCATTGCTCATACTTTTATTTCCCTTGGATGCCCCAAGGGATTTCCATGAGCAAATCACAGCAGCTACTCACCTGGGTCATTTCAGAAGGGAAGTTGGCCATTTCCCTGATTTGGGAACACTTCTACCTTATACCCATTATGCAAGAATTCCCAGCTGAACACCACGCAGCCTCCTCGGCTATTTAATGCCTTGAAATAATGATCAGTTTAAGGACCAATTATTCTCAAATGACACCCAGCTCAGAATGTGTCAATGAAGCCTTGACTTTGTTTTAAGCTCTGCTGGACCTGAGTGAACTTTGGATGTTGTGCAAGCGCCTGGTACAACATCTTAAGCTGAGATGCAAGTCACTGAACATCCCCAACTGACACTGGGTTCCGTAGGGCTTGAAAGTAGTCTGTAACCCCAAGAAACAGGTCCTGAGGACTGGATGGGGCCAAGTGCCTGCAAATTATCAGGGTTTTACCTCTAAATGGCCCAGGTAGGATGCCACATTCTCCTTCAGCATGGCAACGCTGGACACCACGTACTGGAACTTCTCCTCCAGGTCATCATACTCCTTGTCCTCTGTCTGCAAGGCAAGGGGCAGCTTATCTCCAGCACGGGCAGGCCAGGCAATGCCTCAGGCAGGGTGCTGGGTGCTAACATAAAAAGCAGCCAGGCACCCGCCTGAAGCTCACAGTGCTGGGAACAGGTGGAGGAGACCCTGAGAGGCTCCAGGAATCTGAAAGGGCTAAGAGCCAGGGTGCTTGGGATGCAGGTAGAAATAGGGCTTTTGCTGTGGTTGTGGGGCTGGGGAACACCAGGGTGTCTTTCTTTTCACTGCGATGCCCAAGGATCCTGTGGGTCACTCCCCTGCAGTGCTCCGAGACAGGGAGCGAGGTGTGCACCTGCATCCCTCCTACCCTGCTGATCCTTGGGATGGAGGACCAGGAGCCACCCTTAGGCTGCTCGAAAATGAGACTGTGCCTTATATGACAGCACAGGCCACTGGGTGTCAGCATCGACCATGCCACCTCGGCTCCGCTCTCCTGGTCCAGCTGGTGAGACATCTCAGGAGGCGGTGGAAAGCCCCAGAAACGGCCCAAGGAGAGGCAGCAGGTCCACGGGTGCAGGCAGTGGGGTGTGGGCTGCTCACCTTGGCCACGATGCCGGCCTCGTGCATGAAGAGCCGGCTCAGCCGCGTGGTCTTCTTGGCGATGGAGTGCGTGTTGAGGCGTGCGAAGCGGTCCCGCAGCGTCAGGTGCTCAGCCTTGTTATATTTGGTTGCTGCCTCGGGTGGGGGCACACAAGGTGGGAGGAAAAAAGATCAGAAGAGGAAATTTCATGGCAGCATCCTCAGCAGCCTGAGCAGGCAACATGGGTGAGCAGCACCGAGACCCAGAGCTGACAAGTCACGATCAACAGGATAAGCACAACCCACATCAAAGAAGGGCAGCCCCGGGGAAAGTACTATGAAAACCAAAAAGAAGAGCAAGCTCCCCTTTGTGGGGAGCCTGATTTCTCCTGTCCCAAGGGCAGCACTGTTCCTCCCCAGCCCCAGGAATGCAGACAGACTGGTTTTGTGTTCAGCCCCCTCATGCCACCCTGCTCCTGCTGCCTTCAGGTCTTGCCCGGAGTGGCATGTGCAGGACCAGAGCAGTGCCAGGAGTTGCCTGCACCAGCCTGCGGCTCCACCAGGCAGGACGGGTGGCGGGTAGGAGAGCTTTGAACTGATTTAAGTAGGAATTAGTGCAACACCAAGGGGAGAGGACTAGGGTTGGGCTGGGGCTCCCCAGACATCATGCCCTTTGCCTGTGCCATGCCCCCTGCCCGCTCACCTACTTCTCTCTGCCGTTTGTACTCGTTGATGTTGGCGTTGACCTGGGCCATGGCGCGGACGGCTGCCTGCAGGGCTGGGTAGGTGCTGGCGCTGGTGGGGGTGTTCTCCAGGATCTTCCCCAGCAGCAGCGGGTATTTGGTGACCCTCTGCACTGGCATCACCAGGAAGAAGCTGAGGTCCGACGCACCTGTGTGAGGCCTGATGGAGAGGGGAATTGCTCGAGGTCGGTGTGGAGGGCTGCCCTCCTGCCCTGCGCTTCTCTGTGAGAGTTTTGGGGACAAAGCAGTGCCTCTCCAGCTGTGAGGAAGCTTCACTGCTTTGGACCCACAGGCGAGCTGTGCCCAGCAGCTGTGGGGGGGGTTCTGGCTATGAACCACTGCTCACTGCCAGCTGTGGGGCCACCCCCAGGATCTCTGGCAGGGGGATGTTGTCCCTGCCAGCCCCGAAGGTAGTGCCAGCCCCGGCAGGCGCCTGCCTCCCTGAACAGAGCCGTGCTTGTCTCACTAGGAGGCACAGGACCAGCGCTCGCTCCGGGAGCAGTGGGGAGGGAGGGTGCGGGCACAGTGCAGGCAGGCTGCAGGCAGGACTCCCCTTCTACCCACGCACTGGGCAGAGCTCATTAAGGGAGTTCTGTGCCCAGAAACAGGGAGCAGAAAATCTCAGCAGCTCCTCTGCTGCCACTCCTGCTTCTCCTGGCTCTGACAGTGTTTGTGACCTCCCTGAGAGTGCAGGAGGGGTCCAGCAGGTCACCTGGGGCCAGCCCATCTCTCTGCTCAAGCTGGGGAATGTGTGCTCTCTGTGGACACCGCCTCTTTGGCTTGTGAGCAGTGTGAAGGCATGGAGCAGACAGGGTCTGTAGATACCTATGCAGGCAGCTTGTCCCAAGAGAAGGGCAAGGCCAGTAGGTAGAACATGGAGAGGAAGATGGTGGCCTCAGCATTAGGTACCTACACTGTTGCATGTAGGGTCTCCAAGATCTCCTCCTGCAGCCTGGGGTCCTTGCGGTAGCTCTCCACCAGCAGGAGGGCGTGATCATAGCTGGCACAGTAGATCTTGTAGACAATCTCCATCTCCTCCTTGAACTCCTGGAACAGGGCACCTGGGGAAGGAGAGCAAGGCTGGAAATCATGGTCCTCTGCTACATCCTCAGAGAAAAGTGAAGGTTTCTCTCCAGTCTGCTGGAAAGGTGAAGCTGGAAGAGCAATGCCAGCCAAACGTGCCAGGGCAGTTCTCTGCATCCCTGGGCACCTCTGCTAAGCGGGGCCTGATGTTGCCCCCCACCCTCGCTTTCTGTGGGCTTGGCAGGTCTGCCTCACCCCTGCAGGGTGATCATGGGTGGCTGCCCACAGCCAACGCTGTGCAGGCAGCAGCACTTCCCGGAGCAGAGGGAGGTGCAGGAGGCACTGGAGCGGGTGGGCTGGGGGCTGCAGCCAGGCACAGCACCAGGCAGAGGCACTGCCAGCACCACAAAGGCATGGGCAGGCATGGGTCAGCTCTCAGCCCTGCACTACTTACTGATGCAGAGCAGCTGCTCGTGCTCCTGGGTGGCTGTGGCCTCTAGACCCTTCAGGAACCGTCTGGAAATGTGGAGGATGTCATCAGTGTTTGAGAAGAGTCCTTCCAGGTCAAGATCAGGCAGCTGAAGGGAACAAAGATGCCCCAGGGTAAGCCAAATACACTAGACAGAGGTGGACCATGCATTCTGGAGGCACTTATGCCCTCTTGAGTACTCATGTCCTTCCAGCTGCCCGACGCAACACCTGCAGAGCTGGAGCAATGCTCTGTTTCAGGAGGGACTGGGGATGCTGAGACATGGCTGTGGTCCTGAGTGGGGCATTGAGACCTCTTCATGTTACAGATACAGGGTTAAAGCCATGGAACGGCTGGACTGGGTAAGACCCAATGTCCATCCGGCCCAGGACCTTGGCTGATTGAGGGGAGCCCAGGAATGCGGAAGGTGAGCACGTGGTGACCTCCCTGCAGTGATTTGGGCATATTGCAGATCTTGGCAGACTCACCCTATGGTCCCCAGCCCCTGGGCGCAGGGACGTACCCCCTCTCACCTGCTTCTTCTCGAGGTGTGCCCGGATGTCTGACACACAGAGCTGGATGTTGTGGACATAGCTGGCCTCAGTGGTGATGAGCTCCTCCACAGCCAGGCGCTGGCTCAGCTCCATCCTCTCACAGGGCATCACCTCCTTGTCAATGGCCTCTTCGGGCTCAGCTGCATCCTCAGCATCAGGCTCTGTCCCACGGGCACTCGCCATCTCGGCAGGACACTCTGCAGGGGGTAGCAAGGGGTTAGGGCCAGGCTGTGGCAAGGGCAGCCCTGGGACCAGTGCTCTGGTGCCTAACCCAGCTCAGTGCCTGTGCTCCCTCCCCTATGCTGAGGGGACCCCACAGCACATCCCTGGAGACAGTCAAGCCATCTGTATTTACAAGCAAGGCAGAGATGACACTCCAAAACCATAAAACCATAAAGCACCGCAAGCCAGGAGTGAGCTGGCTGTGGAGGGCAGACACCCACGCGTGGCAGACAGGGACTTGCCACACGCACGTGCCCAAACTCCAGTGACCACGTGCAGGGCTGTGGTGCAGGCAAGGGGAGCCCCAGCTGCAGGCAGGGGCCTGGCAGCCCTCACCCCACACTGGGTCTGCACAGGGGCTGGTCCCCGAGAGCAGAGCACGGTTTGCCTGCCAGGGCCAGCTGTCCCCTCCCTGCCTCAGCTGCGGGTGCCTGGCACACTGCCTCGCCTTCAAGAGTCCTATTCAAAGTACAAAGAGTATTCTTGCAGTGCTTGAACAAGAGGCATTTCTGCGGCATGGAGAGATGATTTAAAAGTGATGAGGATGGGAGGAGAAGTGGGGGAAGCTGTGGGCGCCTCTGCCAGAGCTCTCTCAGCCCCTGGTGTGCAATGCCCTGCTCAGCACACCCCGCTTCCCTCTCCTTTCTGCCTGTGGAGAGCATGAAAAATCAGAGCTGATTCATGCTATTTCCTTCCCAGGGAACAGCCTCAGCTCTAACTGATGCCGAGGAGGATGGAGCACCACCCAAAGCATCACAGATAGAGCTTGGTTTCAGGCAGGAGGCCTTGAGAGAGAGACACGGCACAGCCCACGCCAGCCCAGCGCACAGCTCGGCAGATCCAGACCTCAGCAGAGGGGAGGGATCCGGCCAGGCAGCCTGTCCATGGAGGAGCTGAAGACCAAAGGTGGGGCAGAGGTATCTTGGCAGGATAAAAGCAAGATGGCACAAGCAGCAGCACAGGGAGGGCAGTTCTGCATCTGCCCTCCACCGCCTGCCTAGCCCGTGTCAACCTCTGTGTCCAACCGTCAGCAGGCCCACATCAGGCACCCGCTTCAGAGGCTGCAACACTGCAGTGGGAGCAGGGAGAGGGGCTGGCAGGACAGCCCAGGCCTCAGCTGGGGAAAGATCCAGCTAATAAGCAGGTGATGCAGTTGTGAGCACTGGGCAGGGTGACTGTCCCCTCCTGGCACATGCCCACAGCTGTGCTGGAGGAGAGCTGGGCTTGGCACAGCAAGCAAACACCAGTGACAAGCTATGGGACCTCCGCCTGCCTGACAAGGGCACATTACCCTGCCAGCTGTCACCCTTTGGCCGCCTCCCCCTGCCTGTGGCACAGCGTTGGCTGCTACATGACACAGGGAGTGGGAGACACTTTCCTGAGCTCCTGTGGGTGCTTCCAAGGTGTCCAGGCAGGACACCCATCATGGACTGTTGGACAAGCCCAGTGTCCTCTGCCTGGGGGTGACAGCAAAAGCCTTGCTCAGAGGAAGGGCTGCAGGGGAGGCAGGTGGAAAGCCCTGATCGGAGACGCCTCCTGAGCCCTGG